CAGGGAGCCCGATGTGGGACTCGATCCAGGGACTCCAGGATCATGACCTGAGCCGAAGGCAGTCGCCCAACCAACTGAGCCACCCAGGCGCCCAAAAAGCTTTTATTTTTAATCTCTACACCCAACGTGGGGCTCAAACTCACAACCCTGAGATCAAGAGTAGCACGCTCCACTGACTAAAGCAGTCAGGCACCCACCAATTTTTTATTGTGGTAAAACATATATAAAATGTATTATCATGATCATTTTAAAGTATACAGTTCTATGGCATTAAGCACATTCGCATTGTTGTACCATCCATCTCTAAAATGTTTTCATCATCCCAAAATGAAACTCTGTCCCCATTAAACATTAACTCCCCGTCCCCCTCCCCCAGCCCCTGCCACCCACCATCTACTTTCTGTCTCTGGATTTGACTCCCCTAGGGACCTCACATAGACGGGATCATACATTATTGGTCATTTTGTGACTGGCTTATTTCATTTAACATACGTCCTCAAGGTTTATCCATGTTGCAATGTGATTTATTTTTTACCAGACCCCACTGGCTGCCTTGAGGAGAACGGGGGCAGTGGGGAAGGGCAGAGCAGGGAAGATGAGGGCAGAGACGCCTGCGCTGGTCCAGGCCAGCAGAGATGGGAGCAGGACCTGGGACATGCCAACAGACATGGAGAGAAGTGACCAGACTGAGAACCTAATTTGAAGTTGACCTGATGGCTCCTGAGGAAGGATCAGATGTGGTGACACCAGAAAGAGAGGATCGAAGGAGTTGAAGATTTGGGCCAGGGAATTTGAGTGGATGGTGGTGGTGAATTGGGGGGTAGAAGGTCTGGGAGAAGATAATCCCGAGTCCAGCTTTGGCCGAGCTAGGCGAGAGACCCGAGATCCCAGGATGACAGACTGAGGAGGCAGGAGGCTCTTCGGGTGGATCTGAAATCAGGGAAGGCTCGGGGATGGGGACAGAGGGAGCCATCAGCATAAGCAAGTGGATGGAGTTATCTGTGGATAAGATCCTGCGTGGTGAGTGTAGACAGAGGGGAGAGGCAGGGCTGCCCCTGAGCCAAGGTACACTCTGGACGTGGTCGGGGGCAGAGGCCGGCAAAGGAGGAGTGTTGGGGGCCACTGGCAGAGGATCAAGCAGGTCAGTGAGAGGCCAGGGCCCCTCCGCTCGCCCAGCCAAGGTGACATGTGACACCAGGGCAGCCACTGGGCCCCCTGGGGCAGGGACCCCCTCAGCTGAGGCAGCTGCTGCTGCTGGTGACATTTCACTCCATGAGTGTCCTGGCTTCAAAGTCTCTGCAGGGGTGGGGGAGGGAACAGAGCGGGGCTGGAGAGGCCAGGCTGGCAGGGGAGGGAGCCAGGGCCAGGCTGCTGGAGGACTGAGCAGTCGGGCATCAGCCGGAGGCCTCAGCTGAAGTATGTGATCCTGACGGGTCGGGGTCCCGCCACCCCCGTCCCACAGTCCCCAGGGGGGGACACAGGAGGCGGTTAGGGGACTCTCGGGTAGCCGTACGGCTAGGGGTCGGGAATGGAGCCCACTGCCTGTGACCCTGCTCACTTCCCTGCAGATGTCCAGCAAGGGGGCCACCGGCAGCGACATCGGACAGGCCCGCCGGGCCGTGGAGCAACTGCGGATGGAGGCGGGCATCGAGCGCGTGAAGGTGAGGGCCAGGGTGGCACGGGCGTGTCTGGGCGAGGGGGCAGGCGGCCAGCCCTGGCCTGGCTGACCAGGCCGGCCTGCAGGTGTCCAAGGCGGCTGCCGACCTGCTGCAGTTCTGCACGGAGCAGGCCAAGAGCGACCCCTTCCTTGTGGGCATCCCAGCGGCTGCCAACCCCTTCAAGGAGAAGAAGCCCTGCGCCATCCTGTGACCTCCACGGCCCCAACCGCCCAGGAGGCCTCAATAAAAATGAAGTGAAGGATCCTCAGGACGTGGCTTGGTCAGGCTTCAGTGGGGGCAGAGGGGGCTGCACTGGGGCCACCCGCACACCTGGCGCAGCCCCCCGTCCCCCACCGACTCCAGGGTCCTGGCCCCAGCAGCACACACATCCTGCACCCCCGGATGCATGAGCACGCACCTCCCCCGCCCCCGTGGGGTAGCCTTAGCAGATCCGCTTGCCCACTGCACAAACACACCCAGGGTCAGAGCCCCAGTCTACGTGCCAACACGCATCACACATGCCTTCCTGTCTCACACACACACGCACACACACACGCGTGCCATTATACAAACGTGTGCACATCCTCAAGAGCCTCCTCCTTCCTTGCACACAGCCACGTCCAGCAGCACACAGGTACACACACACAGGGTTACTGCACAGCACGCACAGCCAGACCCGCCTCCCCAGCGACACACACACACGTGGTCGTGAGCGCAGGAAGGCTTGCGCTCGAGCAGGTACACTCACACCTCGACATAAAATGGCATCTCACAGACTCACACGCCCCGTGCCTCCCAGTCCCAAGCAAGCACAGGCAGGGCCCTCGGGGGACACCAGTACATCAGGTTTATTTCTCCTTTGCTCTCAAGGGAAAGCGGGTATCCAAATCCTAGCAAAAACGGGGCCCCAGGGAGGGGAGCAGTCCCCTGGGTGGGCCTGAACACCACCACTTCCCTGGCGCGGGGCACAGCCCACGGGGCACAGCTCACCATGGCCCGGACTCCTTGTGCCTCAGGGCTTCGGGACAGGGCAGAGGCAGCACCAGCATGCGGGGAAGGTCCCCCGAGAACAGAGGCCACGGCCCAGCCTGTGGGCCGGCAGATCCCCCTCCATGTCGGCGTCTGCCCGCTCAGGCCTGCAGCCTCCAGACCTCCAGCGATAGGCCCCCGGAGGCGGCGACCACCAGGTTGCCCTCCGCGCAGATCTGGGAGGGCAGGGCAGAGGTAGTCAGGGGCGCTCTGGGCAGCTGGGCAGGGTGTGTAGGGCAGGGCCTTACCCCATTCAGCACATTGTTGTGGCTTCGGGTGCAGATGGTCCTCGGCGGATCCGTGGGCACATGCACCTGGTGAGGGGCAACGGGCGAAAGGGCGAAGGTCAAGACGTTGCGCCGCCAGCTGGTGGGGCCAGGGTAGGGACGGGGCCTGTCTCAGGGCCTCACCCGGATGGTCTTGTCGGTGGACGTGGTGTACAAGGCCCCCAGCGAGTGTTTGATCCCTGTAATCTGAGACCTGTGGCCCACATCAAAAGACTGCAGAAAGGAAGGACGAGACACTCAGGTAAGGGCTCGCCCAGGGTCCACCCGCCAGCCACCCAGGGCGTCAGGAGGTAGGGAGGAGGCCCAGGGACGGTGGGGCAGGGGCAAGCTCCCTGGCGGACCCGGACAAGCTGGAAGCGGCCGTTGTGGTTGGCGAAGACATGCAGCAGGCCCTGGTTGTCACCAGCCCAGAGCTGGGGCTCCTGGTAGGACATGCAGAGCAGGTAGGAGTCCAGCTGTGGGAGGGATCCGGGACAGAGCAGCTCAGACCAGGCCAAGCCACCGCCCCGGTCCATCTGGGCCCGCGGGGAGGGCCCACCTGCAGCCGCTGCAGGACGCTGTTGGCCCGGCGGTCGAACACCACGAGCGTGTGGTCCTCGCTGCCCGAGATGATGTGTCGGTCGTCCGCCAGCAGCGCCAGCACCGCACTGGAGTGCAGCCGCCGGCTCTTCAGCAGCGCCGGGCCGACTTCGGGAGTGATGCGGGAAGGAGGGAGACATCAGAGCATCCGGGGGGGCCCCCCGGCCTACACGAGGACGCCGGCACCTATCCCACTTGGCACCACCCTTGCTCTGCTCTGCGCGCCCCCATCCCGTCCCTCTGCCCTCCTGTCCCAGCTGGGCCTGGGCCATCCAGCGCCCCCAGATCTCGGCCCTCCCATCCCCCCGTCCCAATCCCATCCACTCTCAGCACAGCGCAGACCTCAGCAAGTCCCAGCAGAAAAGGCTTCCACCTGCAGGCAGGTCGGAGCCAAGCCGCCCCCTCACGACACCCCCACCTGCCTCTGGCCCCACCTGGGCAAAGGCCCCCTAGCCCTTCAATTAAAATAAGAAGGAATAAAGAAAAGCAATGGAAAAGGCTTATGTGCTGGGCAGTGTTTTCCTAGGCTTTTTATGTCAACTAACATTTAATGCACCAAGGTTCTTACTGTCCTCTCCTCCTACTAACCCTATGGCGCTGGAGTTATTAATCCAGATTTCACAGAGGGGGAGACTGACGTTCAAGCTTGACAGCTAGGAAGTGGGGGAGCCAGGGTCCTAGGGGCTGCTCCACCTCCCACAGTATTGAGGCTCAGAGGGCTTCCCATCCTCCCCGACACCCCAGATAGAGGGGGCTGCCTCTGCCCCCAACCCCCATCCCCCCCGAGCTGCCTTCCTTGTCCCAGCACAGCACGGGCCACTTGGAGTGGTCAGCATCTGGTTGTGACTGTCATCCCAGCCAGGCTGTGAGGGCCAAGGGTCTCCTTCCCCAGCATGACCCCGGAGACCCCAGGCGGCTCGCCTCTCCCCACCTGCTTCCCAGGGCCCCCGGCCCACCTCTGGGGTCGTAGACGGTCACCTTCTTGTCATAGGTGCCAGTCACCAGGATGTCAGGCCGGTAGGACAAGCACAGCACAGCTGCCTTGCCCCTGGGAACACACGGACCCCAAGGCTCGGGCTGTGACTAGGTGGGACCCCGCCCGGCCCCAGCTCCCCGCCCAGGACCCCACACACTTTATCTCGCCGAACTGCTGTCCATCGGCCGCCATGTCCCAGAGCTTCACCGTGCTGTCCCAGGAACCAGAGCACACGCGGTGGTCCAGCGCTGCCAGCGACCACACCCAGCCCTGCAGACCGGACCCAGTGGTCATCCCCGTTTCAGAGCTAACAAAATCGAGGGTCGGAGGAGGGAGACGACTGACCCAAGAACCCAGAGCAAGTCCGCTCCAAGTAGAGGTCGGGACTTAGGTCGGTGGGTCTGTCTGACTTCAGAGCCGAGGAGCCAAGGACGTGCACGCCCACACAGAATGATATTCCTAAGTCAAGTCCCTGCCGGAGTCCGCACCCGTGGTGCTTCGAGGCCACCTAACAATGTGACTAAAAGTGGGGCCTCCGCTCCATGACCTGAGCAAATGAAGTGCTCTCCCTCAGTTTCTTCACTGGGAAAACGGGCACAGAAAAACAACCCCCGCCTCAGGAGCCAATAGGCACAAAGCACTGGCTGGTGACTAACTCATTCCTCACCAGACTCTCCAAGGAGAGTGCTGCGTAACTGGTCGGTGCTACAGATGAGGACACTGGAGCACAGAGAAGTTGAGTCCCTTGCCCAAGGTCACACAGCCAGGGAGTAGCAGAGTGCGGATTTGAGCCCGGTGGCCTAGCTCCGAGACCAGGCTCTTGGCCACCTGCCTGGACCACCTCAATGACTGGTGGTGGTGCCCCTGCATGTCCGCCTCTCATGAGCTGACAGCCATGCTCAGAGCTTTGTGATCCCCACGGGCGGCCTCGTAACTGCCCTGCCCTACGCCTCTCAAGGTATACCTGATGTCTCCCAAGTGCCTCCTGTGTATCCCAGCCTAAGCGAAGCTCTACGGCATATTCATCTCATTCATCCTCATCCTAACCGAGCCCTAGACACAAGTAGAAACAGAGGCCCAGAGAAGTCCTACATCTCACCCCAGCATCGCACTAACAATGGCAGGGCAAGATTTAAATCTATGATGTCTGGTGCCGAAACTCATGCCCTTAACCATGGCACCCTACCCAGGCCCCCCGCCTCGTGCCCGTCTGGCCTCCTAACCCCTCACCTTGTGGGTGCTGTTCTTCTCGGTGCCCAGGGCCTTGACTAGAACCTGGCTGGACTCCACCCCCAGCTGCCGCAGATCCCACAGGTTGACGTTGCGATCTCGGGAGCCTGACAGACAAAGCGCTCCACCCTGAGAAGAGAGTGAGGTGGTGGTGTCGGAGTCACCCTGGTCCACCCCTGCCCCCCACCGAGCCCCACCTCACCTGGAGCAGCAGCACCGAGTCAATGGAAGCAAAGTGCCCATCAGCCAAGCAGAAGTACTCAGCCCAGCGCCCATCCTCCGCCCAGCGCGACAGGTGTTGCTCCAGCTCGATGCAGGCTGTTGGCCAGTCAAAGTCCTCCTCTGTGGGGCATCGTGAGCAGGGTGCCCAGTGGGCAGGAATCCTGACGTCCACACCAGCTGTCCAAGCCCACCCCTGGCTTCCAGGAAGCCCAGCCTTCACCAGACTTGGAGAAAACCCCACCTGGATCCCTCACCCCACCCAAGAAGGCCCAGGATCTAGCTTTGGGACCACCAGCCACCCACCTTCCAAGCAGGTCTAGGACTACTCACCCCAGTTTCCAAAAAGTGGGTAACTGGAACCTCGGGACCACCTTCGCAGGCCTCAACCCCCAACCCAAGTGTGGAGGATGGTAGCCTCAGGATGTTAAGGTCCTGCCTCAACCCCCCCTATGCATCAGAACTAGGACGTTTTGCCTCCATGATCTTAACCAAACCCAGGGAAGTGTTCTCAAATTAGTGTCTGTAAACTTGGGAACTTTGTCGAGATGCAGAACTCAAATGCTTGCAGAGATTTAGTGGTATAATGGAGCTCAAGCAACTGTTTATCAAGCTGTTCAGGAAAGCCCCATCAATTCAAGGTCACCAAGCTGTCTTATCCCCCAGGGATCAATGACCTCAGGGGCAGGAGGAATTACCACCAGCCCCAGACTAGGCTAGACCCTGGGCTTGAGGATCGATCTGTGATTGCTGGTATCAGGGATCCTAACCTCTAAGATGTAGCTTGGGATCAAAGGTTGCAGGCTCTGGGCCTTTAGTCCCTGCCCCACCACTACCTAGGTCAAGACTGTAAGGGTGAGGGGCTTTGGCATCACCAGTTGGATTCTTGGCCTACCCTGAACCCCAAGAGATTCCAACAGCTAAGACTTCAAGTCCCTGTGTCAACCCCCAGCCAGGGGTCGGGGCCGTGGTACCACCAGACCCCAAGCCAGAGGCTCGTTGGATCCTCAGTTCAGGGACCCCAGCCCCCCAAGGCAGATTTCCACAGCCCCAGGACCCCCAGCGTCTGGCTCATGGTGCACCCAGAGGTCAGGGGCTTTGGCACCACCGGTAACTACCTCAGCCTCCACCCAAGCCAGGACAACCAGGAAGCCTGCTCCAGGGCTGTGCTCACAGCACCCCAGCCTAACCTGGGCAGCTGACCCCAGCCCCCAGGCGCGCGCACCTTCCACCACTGGGTAGGGCGCGCGTACGCGGCGCTGCGCGCGTAGCCTCCAGGTGACATGGTCACGCACGAGGTCGCGCAGCGTGTGGCACACGCGCGGCAGGACGTGGAGCACCAGGCGCGCGTCTAGGTAGGCGCAGATCTCGAGCAGCAGCTCCGGAGGAAGGCTCAGCAGTCCCGGGACCCCCACGGGCGCACCCTTGGACGCCGCCCGCGGCTCCAGGGCGCCAGGGGATGCGACGGGTGCGGACAGCAAAGGGGCGCGTGGGGGCGGCTGCCCGACTTTCGGCGGACTGAGTACGCGGGCCACGTAAGCCTCGGCCTGCGCGTCCGGGTCGGGCTCCGACTCCGGGTCCGAGTCATCTTCCCAGGCGCGGGGATCGTCGCGCGGCCCTGGGGGCAGCTCCATGGCGACCGGGTGGGCGCGGCCAGCCGGGCCCTGTCAGCCGAGGGCCTCGCGTCCCGTCTCCTAGGCAGCGCGAAGGCACTTCCGGCGCTGCTTGATGACGTTGAGCGCTGGCCGGAAGTGAGCGGCACGTGGGGAAACAGGCTGGATCCCGGAATCCCGCTGTTTTGAGGGCTCCCGTGGTGCAGCTTCGTTGGCCTTGTGCTAGAAAATGCAGATTCCTTCTAACAGCGTTTGTTAAACAGGCAGCTGACTCAGGTTTGACGCGGCTCTGTCAAAGGCACCTCTCACAGGTGGCACTGAGCTTAGAAATGCAGTCCCTCGGAGTTCGCAGTCTGGGCCATATGGGGATTCCAGCTCCTGTCTTTCCTTCCGGGGGCAAAAATGTGCGGTTGTACCGCAGAGCCTCAGATTCTCCTAAATTACCTAAAAATCGTCCTTATCTCTTATTTACTGAAACTGTCTTTTGAGCAAGGCATTAACCGATCCATATAAATGTCTCAGAGCACTTGCCGTTCTGCCTCTTCAGATACCCAGATATGCTCAGTTATCACCTAAGCAGTGAGGCCTTCTCACAGTACTCTAGAACTGTAAAGACGACCATTTTACCAACGTTCCCTCTTCCCTCCCCACCTTTTCTCTATGGGACATATCACTGTTCCGCTGTTTATTTCCTATCCCCTCACTAAAACGTACACATTTGTCGAATGAATGCTGGATATATGGCAATGTCAGCTTTTTGTTTGTTTTCCCAAGTCGATGCAGGGGACCTTTGGCCCTGTTGAGGTTGCAACAAGATTTTATTCTGAGGCTGTGTGTCCCAAGAACTTCGCAATTTCTCATTTGCCTCAGTAACTGTCTCATACTTATTACACCTCCCACAGGCCAAGTGCTAAGCTTCCTACAAAAATGTCTAACCTGCCCAGTGACCCAGAGTTGTGAGGTTAGCCAAAGATGAGAGTGGTGCAAGACTCTGCCCCTTAGTTTAGTCTAAGGCAGATGGGAATCTTGAACCTGGGCTGTAACACTAATGGCTCCCTTTTAAATTGAGCTCAAGACGTTCAGTGAGCTGTAATTACATTCCATGGGACACATGACACGTGTATGTTACATTTAATCTTTGTCGTTCACATGCAGCTTCCCATTTTACTGGGAAGAAAAGTGAGAGGCTTGGGGTCCCAAGAAATGTGCCTGGTTAATTGCTTACTTATTTCCCTACTCCTGAATTATTTCATAGAGTCCTGGGCATCCCCATTTCTAAGGCGTCCCAAGCGCCCCCCTCCAGATCTCTTCTCTATGCCAAAGCCAAGGATACAGGAGGCCAGATGGAGACCAACGGTTTCACAAGAAACTGATCTTTACTCAACAAAGTTCTACACAAGTGGAATCTCACGCCACCTCGGCGCCAGTCCCCAGCACAGCACAGTAACAAATGGACAGACCCTGGAGCCCGTAGGAGGAAGAGGGTGAGGGGGAAGGAGGGATGTGGGACAAAGAGGGACTGCAGATCGAGGCCAGTCAGGGTCCGCAGCCCTGGGCAGGGGAGAGGGTTGAGAAGCTGAAACTTCGTTGTGCAAAAATCAACCAAAAATAAATTAAAAAATTAAATAGTTTTCTTTAAAAAAAAAAAAAAAGAAGAAGAAAAGAAAGAAAACTAGAACCAGGCTCCCCTTCCCTGAAGGTGGCTGGAGCACCCCCATCCTGGGTGGAGAAGGGGTTACCAATCCCATCAGACACCCAATCCATCCACAAACCCCAAGACCCAGCAGAGGATGCTCCAAAGAACTGGATTACCAGAAAATTAAATGGTACCTAATTTTTTTTTCTTTTTTTTTTTTCCTTTTTTTTTTTTTTTTTTTTTAAACAAATGGCTTCCAGAGACCTGCTGGAGTTTCACAGGGTAGGGAAGCCAGTGGAGTTTATGGAATGTGCACCAAGTGCCCCTCGGAATAGAGGCAGGGCCTGACCCTGTCTGGGGAAGACACAGGGCTATGATGGGATTGGGTCTAGGGCCCTGCAGGGATGAACAGAACAAGCCCCAGGCTGTAGGAATCCAGTCAAAGCCCCACAGAACTCCCAAAGGGGCCCCCAGAAAAGTAAAAGTAGGGGAGGAGAAAAAGGAAAACACTAAGGGGGCTGCAGGGCCCGGTTCAGTTTTGAGGCCAACTGGGAAGTAACCACACACCCCCTCTAGGGGTGCCTCCCACACCGTGACTGCATCCCCAACCAATCCCAGAAGGTCCCCTAGAATCACTGCCCCGTCTGGTGGGGTCTTGTAGCCCACTGGGAGTTGTGATGAACAGGAAGCCCCAGGGACAGAGAGTGGGGTCAGGGGGTGTACCACGTTCTCCTCCTCCAAAGCGCTTCATTTCCTTCTTGCTGGCAGAGCATAAGCTTTCATCCTCTGTCCCCCATCGATTAAAGGCCCCGGCCGCAGCCCTCAAGTTAAAACTCAGGCTGGAACCTGAGAGGAGGGCTCTCAGAAGCACAGAGAAATGGGCCGCCCTTGAAACAGACTTGCTTATGGAGAGACACAGGGAGTAGGGGTCAGCAGCTCTGGCTGCCCCCAGCTCTCTTCAGGAAAAAGGCCCTGGCCCAGCGTCTTCAAAAGTCACTGGAGCACAGCTGCTGGGGGGGGCGGGGAGGGGAGAAGAAAGGGCAACCTCTGGCCAGACCCAGCCCCTCTGGCCGTCCCCGCTCTTCTGGCTGGGACCGAGCAAGGAACGGGGCCACGCAGGCTGTGGCTGCCACCGAGCTGGCAGGAAGTGTGCGGAGCAGATCCCGAAGCGTGCGCGTGCTGACTTGGCGGCCCGGAGACGGCCGTCCTCTTCCCCCGCCCCAGGGGCCCGGCGGAGGCCCCCACCCCACCCAGCCCTCCCCAGTCACCAATGCCGGCAAAACAGCAGAAGCTTCTTAAACTCTAGATGCAGGTTACACGGAAGGCCTCACGGGTTAACTCAGGGGTTCACTAATTCTACTGTCTCCATGCAGTCGGGGAAATGGTGGGGCGACCGGCCCAGCCTGGCTGGCTGCAGCGCCGTACATGCGTGTGTCCGCGGGTGTACGTGTGAGCGTACGTGTCTCTACAAGGACCCCCCTCCCCGCCTGCTTTCCCCTTGCCTCAGCCTAAGCCGGAATCGCTCGGCCGTGTTGAATCTTCCCTCCCGCGAGGCTGGCCCAAGTGGGCTGCCAGAGGTGACCCCGACTGAGAGCAAAGGGCCCTTGCTGCCAAGAAGTCCCACCCCCCCTCCCCTGTTTGTAGGATGAGTGTGGAGACCCCACCCACCTGCCCGCTGGCCGCCAGGCCACACACACTCATGGCAGGTAGGTGGACGGGGAAGGCGTCTGGATTTGGGTCCCGCTCACTCCTCCCTAACCCCCCTCGACCAGGGCACGGCGACTTCTGGACGCAGCGCGCTCCCCAGCAACCCCTCCAACGACGCAGACAGAAACCTGTGGAGAGAGGCGGGGGTCAGGGCCTGCACCCCCCACTCCCCCCAATAGCAACGGCCCGCCGGCGCGGAGCCCCCTCACCTGGCAGTCGTGACGCTCGTCTAGACCCCGTAGAAGGCAGCCAACCTCTCCTTGAGCAGAGGCGGGAACTGCTCTGAGAACTGCTGCCAGTTCTCCTCCCCAACTTGGTCTTTGAAGCCGTGGAGAATCTGCGGGGAGGCGGGGGGTGAGGCGCGCCCCAGCGCGGAGCCGTCTGAAGGCAGCCTCTCTCCCCAGAGGCGCCCCCTCGCCCCCCGCCACTGCCTCGCAGGAGCTCACCTTATAAAACATGTCCCGAAGGTCATCCTTCGGGCTCACCCAGGAGGCTACAGCGTCGCAGAAGAAAATAAAGTCCTGAAACGTGACAGGCCTGTGTGAGGGGCCGCCCGAGCCCTGCCCCAGCACCTTCCCTCCGAGCCCCAGCTGCCCCAACCTGCACGACGCCCCCGGGGTTGACGCCTATCATCATGCAGATGCCTCGGAAGGCTGAATCCTTCTCCTCGTTGTCCCTGATATTCCTGAGGGACGTGCACCTGTGGGGGAGGTGAGCGGCAGGCAGTCAGCTGGTGGGGCTGGGGCAGGATGGGCATCTGTGGGGGGCAGTGGGGAGCAGCAGGTCAGCGGGGCTTGGGGTGGGACACGTTATCTACGTGGGGTGGGGGCGGTTTCAGCAGGTGATGGGCTAGGACGGGCATCTGGGGGTGGACTCAGACAAGGGAGCAGGTCCGGCCCGCCCTCCCCCACCCCCGCCCTGCTGTCCAGCCCACCAGATGCAGGCCCCACACGGTGGGGGGGGGGGCGGCACACACCAGGGCCGGATGAACTGCTGCAGCATGGGTGCCACCTCCTGTGGGCACACGTAGCCCAGGCGGCCGATGGTGATGGCTGGAATGGCAGAGGGACTCGTCAGGCGACCTGCAACCCCGAGCGGCCCCGGGACGGTACGTGGCGGGGCCTCTGGCACGAGGCACCAGCCCCGCCCCGTGGGCCCCAAGGGAATAGGCCCAACCAGGGTCTCTCCGAGGCATCTTCCCCGGGGCTCTTCCCAGAACCCCTTCCGGGTCTTTCCAGACACCTTCCCTGGTTCTTTCCCGAGGTCTCTTCACCACTACCCTCCCAGCTGGGAAGCCCAATCCCAGGTAAGGGGACAGCAACTGCTCAGGCCTGGTGCCCACCTGTGTTTTCCAGCAGCGTCTTAGGTGTGTTGGGCCGGTTGATGATCTCCACCAGGTTGTTGAGGACCATCTGCACGTAGGGCTGCATCTCCGCCCCTGGGGGACCAGTTAGTCAGAGCCCCGCATAGCCCATACCACCCATGCTGACCCCCAGCTACATCCAGATACTGGCCAACTGCAACCAGTGAGGGAACAAAGAACATTCTCCAGCTGGTGCCCGGCTCAGGACCCGTGGCCAACCAGGGACAGACCCACACCTTCCAAACACCAGAAGCTTCCCTGAAGTCATTGCTCAACACCAGGGTTAGACCACATTACCCAGATTCCCTGGGGGGGGGGCGTGGAGAGAAGGGAGGAAGCGGCCAAAATCTCCCCACCAATCCCAGTGGGCTTTTCGACCAACTGCACGGG